AACCCTAAACCCTAAACCCTAAACCCTAAACCCCAAACCCTAAACCCTAAACCCTAAACCCTAAACCCCAAACCCTAAACCCTAAACCCTAAACCCCAAACCCTAAACCCTCAACCCCAAACCGGTCACCGGGGCCCCCGGCCACTGGGCCGGGTCATGGGCGTCAGCTCAATGTGCTCATGCGCTGGCCTCCGCAGGCATTGGGAGCTTCAGGAGGTTTCGGGTTTTGGGGCTTAGGGTCTAGGGTTTAGGTTTAGGGTTTAGGGTTTAGGGTTCAGGGTTCAGGGTTCAGGGTTCAGGGTTCAGGGTTCAGGGTTCAGGGTTCAGGGTTTAGGGTTCAGGGTTCAGGGTTCAGGGTTCAGGGTTCAGGGTTTAGGGTTTAGGGTTTAGGGTTTAGGGTTTAGGGTTTAGGGTTTACGGTTTAGGGTTTAGGGTTTAGGGTTTAGATTCATGTGCTCTCGACATTGCCGCGTAGCCAGGCGCATGAGCTTCACCCTCTCAGCCGCCCCAAGCCCTGTCTAGGGCTTCGGCTTCAGGGGGGCTGCTCATAGCATCCCCTACCCTCCCCCCCCCCTCCCCCCCAACCTAAACCCTAAACCCTAAACCCTAAACCCTAAACCATGAATTCAGGAAGGCTTGGGACTCCTGAGGCGACTCCCGGAGTCGCGGTGATGGGAGTGCGGGCTCCACGGGCTTGGGCCTGTAGGTGTTTGGGGATTCTAGGGGCTTCCCAAAGATTCCTTGAGGTACCGGACCTTAAACAGGGACCATAATGAAGAGAGGTGCCCATAGAAGGCCCAAGCAACCCACGGCCCCCCAAAGCCCAACAGCCAGATCTAAACCCTGACCCAGGCGACCCGGCCGCACGGCGTTGTACTGGATCTGCGCGTTCAAGCGCTGGGGCGCGAACGTAAGGAGCGTCTCGCCCTGGGATGCTTGTTCATTGCATGGAGCTCAGGGTGTAGGACCAAGAGTTTGGGTGTCATTAGGGCCTCAGGGAAAAGGGGCTCGGGTAGGTTTGGGGGGCACAAGGAGCCCATGCTTTGCAAACTTCGGTTCAGGGAACCCCTAGCCCCCTAAACCCTAAACCCTAAACCCTAAACCAGGAAACCGGAGAGGGGGGAGGAGGAGGAGGAACATCGAGCTCGGCGGCGAGCCTCGACAGCCACCCCTAGGGTTTAGGGTTTCGGGTTTAGGGTCGCCCTTACCAGAATGCCCCCGAAACTTCCAAAGCCCCAAGCATCCAACCAGCAAAAGCGGCCTCGAATCGCCTCGGTAATTATCGTCGCGTCTTCAAAGCATGCTCCAGGACCAGTCCTTCCTTCAGCGCACGGTCTTGGATCACGCCCTGCTGATGTGCGTTTTGCTTAAAGAACTCTTGCAACTCTTGCTGCTGCGATGCAGAGAACCTCTCATCCAGGCTATCTTTCAAGGCCTGGACGATGCAGTCTGGGCGCTGAGCTTGCCCCATGCCAGCTTGCCCCGCCCTGCTAGGCAGACTGCTCGAGCTGATCTTGCTGGTTTCGATTCTGAAAGCTGTCCAAAACGCTGACATGAACGACATGGAACGGCCTAAACCCCAAAATCCAAAAAAGAACTAAAGCCCTAAAACCCTGAAACCCTACAACCCCAAGCTTTCAACCCTATAACCCTAAAACTCTAAAACCCTGACACCCTAAACTTTGCTTTCGGCTTCGGGCTCTGCGGGACGAAGGCTCAGGTTTCGGACAAACAAAGCAAACACTCCCTTTCTCCCCTAAGCCGAAACCCTACCCCAAACCCTAAATCCCCAACAACCCAACCCTTAAACCCCTAACACCGTAAACCCGACAACCTCTAACCCCCTAACACCCTAACACCCTGACACCCTAACACCCTACACCCTAACACCATGACACCCTGACACCCAAACACCCTAACACCACAGGGCACCCCCGAGCTCCGCGCGACCGAAGCTGCCAGCACAGCCACAGCCCGGCTGTCCCTGGGCGATTTAAGGGTTCAGGGTTCAGGGATTTAGGGTTTAGGGTATAGGGTTTAGGGCTTAGAGTCTAGGGTTTGGGGTTCAGAGTTCAGGGTTTAGGATATAGGGCTCAGCGAACCCTAAACCTTCAACCCAAGTCCAGGCGCCGGGCCGGCCTCAAGTCTGGAGCTGATTCTGTTTGAGGCGTTAGGGGTTGTTCGGGGCTTGGGGGTTGGGGCCTTTAGGGGTTTACGGTTTAAGGGTTGAGGGGTTTTGGTCTTTAGTGGTTTGAGGGGTGTTAGAGGCTTGAGAGACTTGAAGGGTCTCGGGCTTTGGGATGCTCCAAACGAAGAGCCCCAAAACCCTAAACCCTAAACCGTAAACCCTTCTGAACCCACACAAACGAGGATGCTTCGTCTTGTGGACTTTCCGGGAAACATCTGCGACGACCTGCTCCTTAACCCTAGATGCCTCAACCCGATTCAAAAACCTCTTACTCCTACACCCGAAACCTTAAACCCCTCAACCCTAAACCCTAAACCCCAAACCCTAAACCCCAAACCCTAAACCCCGAACCCTGCACCCCAAACCCTAAACCCCAAACCCCCCCAAAAGGGGGTGTGGGCTCCCGGCGTCAGCTTGTAGACCTGGAGGTAGACCGGGCCGATCATGCCTGGGGAATCGGGATTCAAAAGCTTGGCTGCACTTAGCAGGGTGGCTATAAATTGAATTTGTAGCTGCCTTATTAAGAGACTCAATCAACCCAAAAAGGCTAAGGATCTAAAGTTACAGTGAAGCACCACAGAGACAAGCTAAGGGCTTCCTGAGCGTTGTAGGGTTTAGCGCTCTTAGGGGCTTAGGGTTTAGGGTTGGGCTTTTAAAGGGTTTCTCTTGTGGTTTGGGGTGGGGAAGTTGAGGGTTTTTCAGGGTCGTACGGTTTAAGGGTTCAGGGGTTCAGGGTTTAAGGGTTGAAGTTTCTTACTTTTAAGGTCGTAGGGTTTAGGGTTTGGGGCTGGAGGTTCTGAAGGAGTTAGGGGTTTTTAAGCATCGTAGAGTTTGGGATTCACGGTCTAGGGGTTGAAGGTCATTAGGAAGTTGGGGGGGTTTACGGTTTAGGGAACTAGTCCGACATGTTTCTGAGAATGCAAAAACCCACGAAACTCACCAGGCGACCTGTGCGTCTACTAAAACGCCTCGTTCTCCAACGCAGACATGGGATTTCGTCCTTCGGCAAGGCCAAACGCTCCCCGGTCGCAGAAACTCCGTCGGGGGATGCGTGCACGTGGCCGCCAGCTCGGGGTCTTCAGGCTGTGACGTCACATTAACAGCAGCAACCGACGCCGCAGGCTCTGCGGCGTCCAGCACGCATCAGCCCGCCATGTGCACGTGACTTGCGGCTTACACACACTTATAGAGAAGCTACGACAGAATGACGACGAAGGACGATATCCCAAAACATCTGCGAGTGGAACGGCTTTAACTTTAAGGTTCGAAGTCATGACGCCCCATGTCTCCGGCCCCGAACCGTCTACCCCAAAAAAAGCCTGCTGCGGCAGTGCAGCACACTTCAATGCATGAGAGTTCCTCCGACCGGCGAACCCCTACGCCTCAACACGAACGGCCCGGTCTCCTACAACAGCCCCTAGCCCAGTTTGCACGCAGCACCCTGAAAGGCCTTTTCACTGACGGTCTAACTAAAGCCTAAACACACCCTAAACCCCCTAAACCCTCAATGCCCCTACAGTCCTGAAACCCTCACAAACCCTTCCAATTCAAACCCTTCCAATTGAGACCCTCAACTAAACCCGAAACCCTGAACCCGAAACCATAAACCCTAAACCCTAAACCCTAAACCCTGAACCCTAAACCATAAACCCCCCTAAACCCTAACACACTCTGCCCTGTCTGCGCCGCCGCGCTGAACTGGGGCATCGCTGCGAAGGTTGGCCTCGCCGCGGGGAAAAGAGAGCAGAAAGAGAGAGATTTAGGGTTTTAGGGTTTAGGGTTTAGGGTTTAGGGTTTAGGGTTTAGGGTTTAGGGTTTAGGGTTTAGGGTTTAGGGTTTAGGGTTTAGGGTTTGAGAGAGCGCGCAGTTTAGATTTTAGGGTTCAGGGGTTGAGGGGTTTGGGTTTGGGGTTAAGGGTTTAGGTAAGGGTAGAGGGATTCATTGACGGGAAAATAAAATAAAAGCCCCCAAACCCTAACACACCCAACCACTAAATGCCCTAAACCCTTCACCCTGGAAGCATAAACCCTCTAAACCCTCTAAACCCTCTAAACCCTCTAAACCCTCTAAACAATCTAAACCCTCTAAACCTAAACCCTGAACCCTATAAATCCTCCGAACCCTCGAACCCGAACCCCCTATAGAAGGTCGGACCCAGAAGCGCTTTCTCCCTATATAAACCCTACACCCTAAGACCCTAAAACCCAAAACCGCAAACCCTAACACCCCAAACCCTAAACCCAGTGGGCGCTTTTCTCCGTTCTTACGCCGCGCGCGTCCGCTTCGCGGGCGGCTCCCCAGCCGGCGCCAGCTCCCCGCGGGCCTGGGAGCGTGTTTTTTGAGAGGGGGGGGGGGGGGTTGGCGTTTAGGGTTTAGGGTTTGGGGCTTGGGGTTTTTGGGGGTTTTGGGGGTTTTTGGGGGTTTTTGGGGGTTTTTGGGGGTTTTGGGGGTTTGGGGGTTTGGGGGTTTGGGGGTTTGGGGGTTTGGGGGTTTGGGGGTTTGGGGGTTTGGGGGTTTGGGGGGTTTGGGGGTTTGAGGCTTCGAGCCCTCAAGATATGCCTCAGGGCTTCGGGTGTGGAGTGGATGGTTTTAGGGCACAAACCTGAGCTGCAGGATTTAAGGTTGCAAGTTTTGGTGCTTTGAATTGCTAGTCTTTCTGATCCGTGTCAAGCTTTGCTCTACGTCTGTCCTTGTTTCCTCTCTCATATGGTGAAAGGCAAGGATACACCACGTATTGGGATGCATTTTTGTTCTCTTGTCGGTGAGAACGGGTGGCCTTCGCAGTGTTTAGGGCAATCCAGGCTGCCGGATACTAGTCCATGCTTACCTGCATGTTGCTTGTTCCATCTTTCCCTGTCAACATAAGTCGAAGCTGCTCATGACAAACCCTGAACCCTAAACCCTAGACTCCACAAGCCCTAAACCCTAAACCCTAAACCCTAAACCCTAAACCCTAAACCCTACACTCCAAAAGCCCTAAACCCTAAACCCTAAACTCCAAAAGCCCTAAATCCTAAACCCTAAACCCTAAACTCCAAAAGCCCTAAACCCTAAACCCTAACCCTAAACCCTAAACCCCAAACCCCAAAAGCCCTAAACCCTAAACCCTAAACCCTAAACCCTAAACTCCAAAGGCCCTGAACCCTAAACCCCAAACCCCCCCTAGCCCTCTGCGAGTGAGCGCCTGCGCATCGGCGTGCGCCGCCTCCAGCGCCGCGGCGCTGGAGAGGACATCCTCCGGCAAACCCAAAGCCCGAAACCCCTTGAGGGTCTAAGGTTTAGGGTCTAGGGTTTAGGGTTTAGGGTTTGGGGTTTAGGGTTTAGGGTTTAGGATTTAGGGTTTGGGGTTTGGGGTTTGGGGTTTCGGGTTTCGGTTTTAGGGTTCAGGGTTTAGGGTCTAGGGTTCCTGGTTCATAGTTGAGATAGTAATAAAAAATTTTAAAATCTTATTCTTATTGAGTTTAAGTACCCTTAAAAATGTAAAATGTTATCCCGCTATGACAAAGGTTAAGGGTTTAGCGTTTAGGGTTCAGGGTTTAGGGCTTGTGGTTGGGATGTTCCCCCTTGTACTGACCCTCCTTAATAGGGAATATAGCATCTACCATCAGAATCCCTATTCAGGATTGTTAGTATAAGGGGGAACATCCCAAGTTGTGGGGTTTGAGGTTTTGGGCCTCCAGAGATTGGGGGTCCAGGTTTAGCGGCTTGGCGTGTTTGGGCTGACTTCGGGCTTTCAAGGCTTTAGGGCCTGGGGCCCATAGAAAACAAAAGCCACAAACTTAAAAACAAACATGAACCACAAACCCCAAAAACCGCCAACCAGGGCGCCTGGCAAAGGCGGACCAGCGCCATCCTCGAGTAGCCGTGCTCTTGCAATAAGCGCGCGTTGCTGACGACCTCTGGAAGGGTTTAGGGTTTAGGGGTTAGGGTTTTTGGTTTAGGGTTTAGGGTTTAGGGCTGAGGGTTTAGGAACAAAGCACCGTAAGCTGCCAACACTTGGGGAGGCTGTCATAACTTAGGGCACCCCCTCAAATCCTGCTCCTAAACCTAATGCTACTGCTGCTTCTGCTCCTGCTCCTGCTCCTACTCCTCCTGAATCCCCTAAGCCGTACACCCCAAGCCCCAAACCCCAAACTCCAAAAACCCTGATCCCCCGGGCCCCAAACCTCAACCCTGCAGTAATCCCTAAACCTTAAAACCCTAAGCCTTAGAACCCCCAACAATCCAACCCTGAAACCTAAAACCCCGACAGCCCCCCCCCCCTAAACCCTAAACCCTGAACCCTAAACCCTAAACCCTAAACCCTAAACCTTAAACCCTAAACCCCAAACCCTAAACCCAAAACCTCAACCCTCAATCTCTTGGGCCCCCTTGCGCTCTCCCGGACACGCGAGGAGCTCAGGGCCTGTCAGACCGAGGCCGACTTAGAGCCTAGGGGTTTAGGGTTTAGGGTTTAGGGTTTAGGGTTTAGGGTTTAGGGTTTAGGGTTTAGGGTTTAGGGTTTAGGGTTTAGGGTTTAGGGGTTAGGGGTTTCGGGGCTAGGGGTGAAGGTTTCAGGTTCCGGGGTTAGGGGTTTAGGGTTTAGGGATTCTAGAGGTTTGGTGTTGAAGGTGTTACTCTAGGGTTTCGAGCATCTGTCCCCGATTTGGGGTTCTGTACTCAATATCCCTAAACCCTACACCCGAAACCCTAAACCCAAAACCCTAAACCCAAAACCCTAAGCCAGGGGCTCGAACGAGGGGCCCATACCTGCAACCTTAGCCCTCGAGCTTCCCAGAAAGCGAAGCTGCCTCAGCCTTTAAACTCCTGTGGGCAGAAGGGTCTTAAGGTTCAGGGTTTAGGGTTTAGGGTTTAGGGTTTAGGGTTTAGGGTTTGGGGTTTAGGGTTTAGGCTTTGGGGTCTTGGGCTGAGGGTGTGCCCCCACGTCTCACAACGTTCTTCGGTCTCGTAAACGCCTCATCCGGCCCCTCCAGCGCCGGCAGCAGAAATAGGGACGCGGCGCCGGAGGCGGAGGCGTTCTCCTCAGACTCGGGGCTTCAGGCAGCAACTCCCCTAAACCCGAAACCCTAAATCTTAAACCCTAAACCCTAAACACCTAAACACCTAAACACCTAAACCCCTAAACCCCTAAACCCCTAAACCCCTAAACCCCTAAACCCCTAAAGCCCTAAACCCCTAAACCCCTAAACCCCTAAACCCCTAAACCCCTAAACCCCTAAACCCCTAAACCCCTAAACCCCTAAACCCCTAAACCCCTAAACCCCTAAACCCCTACACCCCTAAACCCCTAAACCCCTAAACCCCTAAACCCCTAAACCCCTAAACCCCTAAACCCCTAAACCCCTAAACCCCTAAACCCCTAAACCCTAAACCCTAACTAAACCCGAAGCAGTTTAAGATCCCGAACACCAGGAACCGGTCTCACAATGCCACAAGCTACCGAGACACGAAGGATCCCAGGCTGGACCCGAATAGCTCCGTCTCGCCATACCTCGGCTTCTTTTTTCGCTGGCGTTCGGGGCAGGTCTTGCGGGGGGGTTGAGGGTCTCGGGCTGGAGGGTTTGCGAAAGAAACCGAAGACTTCTTCAGTCAGGATGACAGCATTTCGGGTTACACTGGGGGACCTAGTGGAATTGCTCTACGAACAAAAGACACGTGATACACAAATTCAGAATTCATAAACGATGTGACCGCAATTATGACAGTGCTCATGGAGCTTGGGGGCGCTCAAAAACCCTAAACTTTGAAGCTTAAATCCTAAATCCTAATCCTATGCAAAACAACCCCAGGTCCTAAACCCGCAGTCCCTAAACCCCCAAACTCCAAAATGCCTTCATCCAACAAATCCTGACCCCTCACACCAAACGTACTTGGAGGTTCATGGGTATCACCCTACTTAGAGAAGCCAAAAACCCTAAACCCTAAACCCCAAACCCTAAACCCAACCCTAAACCCTAAACCCTAAACCCTAAACCCTAAACCCTAAACCCTAAACCCTAAACCCTAAACCCTAAACCCTAAACCCTAAACCCAACGAACCCTAAACCCAACGAACCTCCAAGCGCTCTCTCATGCCCAGGGACTTGACCACCACCTGCGCGTCGATCTGGAACCGGCGCATTGCCGAGAAGAGCGCGCTGGGGTCCTGGCCCAGCTGGACGGCCTCAGCCTGCATATGAGGGTTTGGGGTTTGGGGTTTAGGGTTTGGGGTTGAGGGTTTAGGGGTTGAGGGTTTAGGGGTTTAGGGGTTTAGGGTTTTAGGGGCTTCGGGGTTTTGGGTTTAGGGTTTAGGGTTTAGCGTTTAGGGTTTAGGTGCCTTTTGGCAATTGATGGGGAGGGCTTCTTTTCCGGGGAAAGCCACGCGCCTGCCGCGAGATGAGGACCAGGTCCGTCTTCTCCAGCAGCTCCGCTGGGTTGTTCCAGGAAGCCATGCCTTTGGGGCTCAAGGATTTTGGCCATTTAGGGGGATTACGGTTTTAGGGTTTAGGGGAAGTTTATGCACGTGTGTATACACACAGACATGTAGATGTATGTATACATATATATATATATATATGTATGATACATAGATAGATGTCGGACAAAATGATGTACAGATTTACTCATGCGCTTCTTCCTTTTTGATATCGTGTGTGTGTATATATATATATCTACATGTATTTGCGTTGATACGTCCGTAAACCCTAAACCCCAAGCCCTAAACCCTAAACCCTCAACCCCAAAACCCTTACCCCTTGAAGTTCAGGGCAGGGGCCCGCGAGGTTGTCGACGCCGAAGACTGCCGCCAGTCGCATGCCGTCCTTCACCAGCGGGGAGTGGGCGGCGAAGTGGTTGAGCAAGGCCTACAGCTGCTGTGAGCCCCAACTTAGGGTTTAGGGTTTAGGGTTAAGGGTTTAGGGTTTAGGGTTTAGGGTTTAGGGTTTAGGGTTTAGGGTTTAGGGTTTAGGGTTTAGACCTACAAGAGCAATGCGTGTCATTATGAAGCATGAAAGTCAGACCAGTTATAGACCAAAAAAGTGCCAATGTTGACTTTCGCTTGCTTCCAACCTTCTTTTTGCGCTGGTGCGCGCGTAAATTTGCACAGATGGTACAGGCCTTGTTTGCTCATGGGCTCGCAGGCGAAATTCACATATTTGCGGGAAGTTTGACGCGAATTTTTGCAACCGTGCTAGAAATTCAGGCGTGTCATGTGCACCGCAGTTGTTTTGCCGTGAAAGCCCTGCCGCAGCACTGCGCGGCCCCGACGCCGCACATCCCCCGATTCTCCTCGATTCTTCTGCTTGCTTTCCTAAGTAAAACCACCGACCACCCCCGATTCTCCTGGATTCTCCTCGGCCCCACTGCCGCCCATGGACAGTTCGGGTCGGTGATGTTTCTTGGTGATTTTTGCCGATTTACGCTTGTTTTGCAAGCCTTTTGTGTTTTTCGTGGCCGTGGTCCCAAAAAACCACCATCGTGTACTCCAAGTAATGAAACATTCTGTTGTTATGTTCGAGGGGCATGTCTCCCAAGAGCACTTTTTGTAGAACTTCCAACTTTCAAAGGGACTTGCAACCCACCAAGCAGCGAAGCCGAGACACCCCCCCAAACAAATCTCCACAACCCTCCTATGTGATCCTGCAAGTGGAGGGGGTTTAGGGTTTAGGGTTGAGGGTTTAGGGTCTAGGGTCTAGGGTATAGGGTATAGGGTTTAGGGTTTAGGGTTTTGGGTTTAGGGTTTAGGGTTGAGGGTTGAGGGTATAGGGTATAGGGTTGAGGGTTTAGGGCTTAGGGTTTAGGGTTTAGGGTGGCACGACGGGGGCCTTTGTAGAGCGGCCATGCACTTAACGTCTGCAGAGGGGTACGTTCTACGTGCGGCCAAGCACCTTCGTCGGCACCGTGCGAAGGTAGCCTGTGAAGGGAGCTAGGTTAGAGCACGGCTGTTTCAACGAGACATCTTTCTAGAGACCCTAGTATACCCTAAACCCTAAACCCTAAACCCTATACCCTAAACCACCCCAAACAAACCCTATGCCCCAACCCCTTTTCGGTTGGCGCGGAAGTTGGGGGACTGGGGGGGAGGTCGTCCAGTCCCTCAGAAAAGCCGAAGCGGAACGCCGCTACTTCTGTACCCTCCCCCCGAAAACCCTGAACTGAAAAACCCTGAACCCTGAGCCCTAGGGTTTAGGGTTTAGGGGTTTAGGGTTTAGGGTTTAGGGTTTAGGGTTTGGGGTTTAGGGTTTGGGGTTTGGGGTTTGGGGTTTAGGGTTTAGGGTTTAGGGTGTAGGGTTTAGGGTTTCGGGTTTCGGGTTTAGGGTTTAGGGTTTAGGGTTCAGGTTCAGGGTTTCGAGCCCTAGACCCTAGCCCCTCTTCCCCCGCGCCCCGACCCTAACACCCTAACAACCAAATGAGGTTCCGGGTGTAGGGTTGAGGGTTAAGGGTTAGGGCTTAGGGCCCGAAGCCCAAAAACTCTAAACCCTTACCCTTGCACCAACAATCAAAGACGAGCGACCTTCCGGCAGTCGCTTGGCCCAGTAGTTGGGCGAGTCCTCCAGGAGCCTTGCGGTTTAGGGTTGAGGGTTTAGGGTTTAGGGTTTAGGGTTTAGGGCTTAGGGTTTAGGGTTTAGGGTTTAGGGAACCCTAAACCCCCCAACCCCAAACCCCTAAACCCTACACCCTGAACCCTAAACCCGACACCCTAAAGCCCGACTAAACCCTAAACCCTCAAGCCTAAACCCCAAGCATCTTAAACCCTAAACCCCAGACATCCCCAAACCCTAAACCCCTCCCTTTCTCCTGGGAGCCCTAAACCCAACCTACAAACCCCAAGCCTTTCACAACGGCTCTTCGAAATTCAGGTGCGTTGAGAGGTTTCGAGTTTAGGGTTTAGGGCTCAGGGCCTTCATTTTTCAAGAGCTTCCATCGTAAATGTTATCCCGTGGTACCCTCACGAGGAGGGGTTTTGTGATCTAGAATGGTTTAGAACAACCCTAAACGCCAAACCCCAAACTCCAAGCCCTGAACCCTGAACCCCAAACCGTGAACCCTGAACCCCAAACCAGTAAGCCCCACACCCTAAATCTTCAACCCCACACCCTAAACCGTAAGGGTTTGGGGTGTAGGGTTTAGGGTTTAGGGTTTAGGGCTTAGAGTTTTGGGTTTCGGGTTTAGGGTTTAGGTTTTAGGGTTTAGGGTTTAGGGTGTTAGGTTAGGGTTTACGGTTTAGGGTTTAGGCCAAACCCTACACCCCAAACCCTACACCCCGAACCCTACACCCCAGACCCCCCGAAGCCGCCCTCCAGAAGCGGACCGGGAGCTGCGTCCCGTGCCGCAACTCGTAGTCCAGGACGTGGCAGATCGCCTCGCCCACACCCCCGGCGTTCGCAAAGCTTTTCGGGTTTAAGGGTTCAGGAGCTTCGGGTTTAGGGTTTAGGGTTTAGGGTTTAGGGTTTAGGGTTTAGGGTTTAGGGTTTAGGGTTTAGGGTTTAGGGTTTAGGGTTTAGGGGTTTAAGGGTTTAGGGGTTGAGGGTCTAAGGAGGATGTGGGATTGTTGTCGGCTTGAGGAATTGAGAAACCCAAAATGCCTAATGTTAACGTCACATCTATAAATGGGGTGGCAACTGTAATATTCGCCGGGCCAGAGGGGCTCAGCCGAAGACTACTTTCCATTACGGGAGGTTTTCGGGCCGATGTGTGTAAACAAGTCCATATAGGGGGGTCCGGTGAAAATAATAATGGGGTGACAACAGTAATATTTGGCCGGCCAGGAATCCGAAATTTTACTTGCAGAGAATACTTTTCGAGCTCCGAGGCTCTAGAGAAGCAGATCTCGTTTGAGATTGCTTGTCTTGTCAGATTGCTGCAGCTCCAGAACTGCGAGAAACTGCTGCTTCAGGCCTGTTTCTTCAGAGAAGCAGGTGCCTCTTGAGATTGCTGCAGCTCCAGAGCTGCGAGAAACTGCTGCTTCAGGCCTGTTTCTTCAGAGAAGCAGGTGCCTCTTGAGATTGCTGCAGCTCCAGAGCTGCGAGAAACTGCTGCTTCAGGCCTCTTTCTTCAGAGGAGCAGGTGTTCCTCTAAGGCTTCAGATAAGAGTCCCTGAAGCTGAAGACTTCAGCCTTCGGGTCTTGGAATTCAGGAAACCGCCAGAGGTCTGAAAGCCAGGTTTCTTTACTAAAATCCTTATCCGCCGGGGCTCGAAAACAAGTCCGGAAAGGGTGCCCCTTATGGGCCTCCAAAATGACAATAGTAAAATAGTGGCAATAATAATTTCGGCGATGGGGGCCGGGGGGGGGGGGAACCAAGGAAGCCTCAAGTTTAAATGGCTGCCTTTAAGTCTCAAGACAAGAACCCTTAAGCTCAAGACTTCAGGCTTCGGGTCCTGGTCCAAGTCTCAAGGCAAGAATCCCTGAAGCTTAAGACTTCAGCCTTCGGGTCCTGGAATTCAGGAAGCCGCCAGAGATCTCAAAGCCAGGTTTCCTTACTTAAAACCTTTAGACCCCCAGACCGCAGACCCCAGACCCCAGAATCCTCATTATTGACACCCTCTCTTTTTTTTGACCCGTCCAAACCCCGGGGACCAAAACAAGATTTGGGGGGGGGGGGGGGTTATTAAAGCGACGTTAACATTAGACTCCCAAACCCCAAACCCTAAACCCCAAACCCCAAGACCCAAAACCCCGAACCCCCCAAACCCCTCAAACCCCCAAACCCCAAACCCCCCAAACCCCCTCAAAACCCCCAAACCCCAAACCCCCAAAACCTACAGTAACCCCTAAACCCTAAACCCCCAAACCCCCCTAAACCCCCGATGCGCCTTGGCCTCCGGCCCCTCCTGGTCCACCAGCTCTTGCAGCAGCTCGCATCTCCTCAGAATCGGGGGGGAACGCGGGGGAAGGGAGGAAGGGTTGGAAAGCTAAGATGCCTTGTATCCCTAGACCCTAAACCCTAAACCCTAAACCCTAAACCCTAAACCCTAAACCCTAAACCCTAAACCCCTTGTATCTCTCTGCCCTGCAGCGCGAAAGCTCCCCAAATGAAAGCACTTCGAGACCTTGGGCTGGAGACACAGGGCTTGAAAGGAACAGCTGAAGCCTCACCGCCCTAAACCCTAAACCCTAAACCCTAAACCCTAAACCCTAAACTCTAAACCCTACGCCCTAAACCCTAAGCCCTAAACCCTAAGTTCCCCTGCCCAGCGTCCGGGCCATGGGGAAGAAAATCTCCGAAGCACCCAGCTCGTCCTTGGGAACACCTCGGGCAGGCTTCGGTTTCTTGGGTGTTTATTGGCCTTACTGGGGGTTTGAGGCTTAGGGTTTAGGGTTGGGGTTTAGGGTTTAGGGTTTAGGGTTTAGGGTTTAGGGTTTAGGGTTTAGGGTTTAGGGTTTAGGGTTTGGGGTTTAGGGTTTAGGGTTTAAGGTTTAGGGTTTAGGGTTCAGGGTTCGGGTCCAAGGAGAGTTAGGTGATTGGGGTTCAGGGTTTCGTTGTCGTTTGGGGTGAGGCTTTCATTTTGAGCTGTAGGGCGGGGGGGGGGGGGGGGGGGGGGAGGGTTTGTAGGGTTTTGAATGCAAGGGCCTATCAACGATGGTGCGGCGCTGTTTGGCGGTCATTCTTGGAACCCTGAATCCTCAAGCCCCCCACCACATCCCCAACACCTCTGACTCACAAGTACGAATCCTCAAAACTCGAATTGGGGCGGGGGGTTTCCGAAAACTGGGTCCCATTTTGGGGGTCCTGCGCAGGGGGGTTCTCCTAGAATTGGGGTGTTCAACCCTAAACCCTAAACCCTAAACCCTAAACCCTCATTTTTAAAGCTCTCATAAACTCCTCCGGGCAGCCGCTTTTCGATTTCGAGGCCAGCGTCTGCTTGTTAAGCATGTAGTTGTCGTGCACGGGCACGTAGCAGATGGCGCCCCTCCAGAAGTGGCGGTTAGGGTTTAGGGCTTTGGGTTTAGGACTTAGGGCTTAGGGTTTAGGGTTTAGGACTTAGGCCTACCCCGAAACCCCTGTAAACCCTGAAGCCCTTAACCCTAAACCCCTACATCGGAAACCCTAAAATCTGGGCCCCTAAACCCCTAAACCCCATCCTGAAACCACAGCAGCGGTTGGGGTGGTTGGGGTCTGGGGTTGGGTCTGTAGGGCTTGACAGGGAGTTCCGGTTTAGGGTTTAGGGTTTAGGGTTTAGGGCTTAGGGTTTAGGGTTTAGGGTTTAGGGTTTAGGGCCCTACGGGTAAGGGTTTAGCGCCCCTGAAAGAGCCAAGACACACGTGGTGCCCGAGCGCGTTCAGATGGACTTTGGTCTGCAGGCCAATGCGGACGTGCCCGCGATGCGGTGGGTTGAAAGTTCCCGATATCCTGGGAGAGGCAAACCCAGCAACTGCAACCCATAACTACCCTTGTAAGGTTTAGGCTGTAGGGGGTTCAGGGTTTAGGGTTTTGGGGTTTTAGGGTTCAGGGTTTTGGGTTTAGGGTTTAGGGCAGTTTAGGGTAACCCGAGAATCTTTGGTAGCCCCCTTTTCGACCCTTCCACCGCTCCGCCGGGCCGCAGCAGCACGTAGGACCGGGAGTCCTGGCCTCCGGGCGCGGGCCGCAGCAGAAAGCGCTCCATTGTCAGCCCAGGCGGCTTTCTTTTTGGGGGTGGTTCTGGGCTTGTAGCCTTTGGGGCTATTTTGGGGGGGGTTTTGGAGTTTGGGCCGTTGGGGTTTTGGGCTTTTTCGGGATTGTTGGGGCCTTGAGGTTTGGGGGTTTAGATTTAGGTTTTTTTCTTGTTGGTGGGGGCTTTGTTCTGGGCTTGGAGGTTTTGAAGGCTTCAAGCTTAGGAGGGGCTTGCGGAAGTGGCTTGACAAGGCTCCGCCTGCAGCAAAAGCCAAGTCGGTTCGGGCTTGGGGTTTTAGGGTTTTAGGGTTTTAGGGTTTAGGGTTTTAGGGTTTTAGGGTTTTAGGGTTTAGGGTTTTGGGGTTTTGGGGGTTTAAGGGTTTTAGGGTTGTAGGGTAAGTTGAATTGAGAGTTTAGGGCTTTCGGGCTTCTAGGGTTGAGGGTGCCTTGCTAAGCTTTGGCAGCTTCCGGCCCTCAGTTTCGGACCCTAATTACAAGTACTCCTGAAGCTTCGAGAAGGGCTTAGGCATTGCGCCCTCAAGCCTAAACGCGGAAACCCCTGAACCCTAATGCAAAACACCCCTCTAAAACCCGGTGAATGCCAAGCAATTGTTTAGGCTTTTCATGCTTTAGGGTTGAGGGTTCTACAGTCCAGGGTTTAAGGTTTAGGGTTGAGGGTTTAGGGTTTAAAAGTTTAGGGTTTACGGCTGAGGGCTAAAGCTAGAGTCTGCCAAATGTCTGTCCAATTTCCTTCCCCTGCATCCACACCTGCCAGAGCTTCACATTGTAATCTCCGGCATGGCCCTAAACACGAGATGAACGAAAAAGAACCCCCTGCTCATTTGGGGGGCTGTTCTAAGGTTCTAAGCGATGGTCCCTTTCAGAGGTGTGTGCATGTGTGTGTGTGTGTCGACCCTAAACCCTGAACCCTAAACCAGGGTTTTGGGGCCTAGGGCTTTAGGGTCCAATTAAAAGTACAGCCCCCACTCGCAGGCTCTCTGCCGCTCACTTTGGCAGCGCTGCAGAGCATGTACCTCGCCATGAAACCCGAAACCCTAAGCGGCCCTAAACCCGAAACCCCAAACCCTAAATTCTAAACCCCAAACCCTAAACTCTAAACCCCAAACCCTAAATTCTAAACCCCAAACCCTAAATTCTAAACCCCAAACCCTAAATTCTAAACCCCAAGCCCTAAACCCTAAACCCCAAACCCTGAACCCGCAGACCCCGAGAGCCCAACCCCCAAAACCCTGAAGCCCCAAAACCGAAGCCCTCAACCCCAACACCCAAACTCTGAACCCTAAGCCCCCAAACCCCCAAAACGCTACACCGCAAACCCCAAAGCCGTGAGAGCCCCTAAGCCCCAAAACCCTGAAACCCGCTAACCCTAAACCCCAAAACCATGAAACCCTAAACCTCGAAACCTAAACTTGTAAACCCTAAATCCATAGACCCTAAACACCTACGTTCAACGCCAAACCCTGAAACCCCTAAAGCCTAAACCCCAAACACCTCCCTATCCTCGGAGGTCCCCCCCATTTGAATCCCCAAAGCCCTGAACCTCAGCATCCTGCAGTAGGCCCCTAAGGGCTTAAGGGTTTAGGGTTTCGGGCTTAGGGGTTAGGATCCAGGGTCACCCTGCCGCCTCCCCGGTTCTTACGACTATTCTTTTCTAACTATGTTCCCCCCAGCTGCGTTCCCCCCAGCTTTTTTCTTCTGCTTCTCCCTCTTTCTCTTTCTCGCTCTCTTTATCTTTCTCTTTCTTTTTCTTTTTATCTTTATCTTTATCTTTATCTTTCCCTCTCTCTCTCTCTCCTTCTTCTTCTTCTTCTTCTGCTTCTTCTGCTTCTTCTGCTTCTTCTGCTGCTGCTTCTGCAGCTGCTTCTGCAAACTTGAAGGCCCCCCAGAAAGGGAGACCCGGCCGCGACGGCCAAGCGGTTCGCGGTCTGTTCAGCCCCCGGTTTTCGGGGTCCGAGTTCTTTTACGCCTCAGTGCCTTGACTGTGGCCCTTCGTTTGCGTGTCGTCGACAACGGGACTCAGTCGTCGAAGCGCTTTCCACTGCTGTGCGTTGTGCGTCGTCAAGACGTCTCTCTCTTCTCTTCTCTCTCTCTCTCTCTCTCTCTCTCTCTCTCTCCCTCCCCTTCTTTGCCAGGTGAAGCTGAGCCCGTCGTATCGCGGGTTCTAGATGGAGGCACCAGTTTAGGGTTCGGGCTCTGAGCTGCCTCATTTCTTCATTGAAAATCTGAATTGAACCTGAATTCCATCTTCGAAGCTCCCAAAGCTGACCTTGCAAGGCAAGCTGCTAATGCTGAGAATGCCACCAGAGCGGCCAGGTAGTACCACACCTTTGGGTGACGACAAAGCTTCCGGTGCTGCTTGGCCAAACCCTAAACCCTAAACCCTAACCCTAACTTCTAAATCCTAAATCCTAAACCCTAAACCCTAAATCCTAAATCCTAAACCCTAAACCTGCTTGGAAGCATTCAAAGGGCCCGGAAGCCCAACGCGAAACCTCGACACCAAGTCCCAAAGGCTGAGGGCTTAGGGCTTAGGGCTTAGGGCTTAGGGTTTAGGGTTTAGGGTTTAGGGTTTAGGGTTTAGGGTTTAGGGTTTAGGGTTTGATCAGGGAGTTTCATCAGGGTTTAGGGTTCAGGGTTCAGGGTTCAGGGTTTGAGGGCACAACTCTGCAAGTCCACGGGGGATGCGAGGTCAATGACCTTGCATCACTCTCCTGCTATCACTCAAACGGTTTGACATACACCCAAAATGCTAAAGTTCTCCGTGAAATAGAGCCGTGAACCTTGAAACCTCCAAACCCCAAGTCTCAAAGCCTCTGAACAAAAGCAGACATTTATGTGCGTTCATTGGTAATAGTGTGTATGTATGTAGGTATGTATATCTATACACGTATATACACACACAGGCATACATGCATGCATACACACATATCTGTATCTATATATATATATATATGGTACCCCCCCCCCCCCAGTGACCTACCCTTTTTCGCCTTGTCTCAAGTCACCCAGCTGCACTGCAAGCAAACTCGGTGTGCAATATAGCGTATTTCCTAGGGCGTAGACTAAAATACAATTAAAATCGCATACACGGGACAGTAGAAAAACCAAAAACACCAAAACCAAAAAACCAAAAAACCAAAACCAAAAAAAAACAAAAAAAAACAAAACCAAAAAAACCAAAAAAACCAAAACCAAAAAAACCAAAAATACCAAAAAAACCAATTTTCCGGGACTCTCAGGAAATCCCTATGAGGCTTCTCCAAGAGCCCCGGAAAATTGGTTTTTTTGGTATTTTTGGGTTTTTTGGTTTTGGTTTTTTTGGTTTTTTTGGTTTTGGTTTTTTTGGTTTTTTTGGTTTTGGTATTTTGGCTGTTTGGTTCGCCTTCACGGTCACGAGGCAACAACTACGCATTTTTAAGTGTGCTTATGCTAATTGTGCTTTTCAGAAATAGTATACAAGTGGTCTTTCTAGTGCTTCAGAACTATTTGTTTCGTTATTATGTAAGTAGAGCCGCTAGTGTTTAGTGCATCTTTTGGTTGTACTCAAGTGTAGTAGACCTTATTCAGCCATTACTTGGTGCTCTGGTAGCTCAATTCGCATGGATAATATTTGCCTGGTAAATGCGATTAATTCTCTAGAAGCAGCATTTGCAATACTTGTCTTGAGAAAAAGCATTTATTGCATAGAATTGTTTGCTTAAAAAGTGACTCCTACTCAAGCCAGCATTGGAAGAATCTACATTTTGAATCTGAAGCGGACAATGCTGTTTTTAGATGTTTAGATCAGTGTTTTTCTATGCAAATTGTGCGTTTCAAGGGCAATTAATGTTTTGTTGAGCAACTAGTTTATTTATACAGTTGTGTTTGTACGAGGCAAAGTATTAATCAAATAGTGAAACATTTTTCTTGGTTCTATGCGAATTTAGCTACTAGAGTAAGTATTAAGCAAAGAGCCCAATTTGACTCAAGTGAATACTATTTAAAGGAGCATACTCAATCAAGATACGAAATAAACACCATTCTCAACCAAAAAATGGCAAAGTGTGCGTTTAAAGTGCAAATACTGTATTTATACAATTGTGTTTGTACTAGGCAAAGTATGCTCTCTGAAAAGTCCACTGAAATACCTTATGTTTACATATTCATGAATCGTTTTTGTTTTTGAAATAATCATTTTATGCGAATTTAGCTACTAGAGTAATTATTAAGCAAATAGCCCAATTTGACTCAAGTGAATACCATTTAAAGGACCTTACTCAACCAAAATACGAAAGAAGCACCATACTCAACCAACATATGGCAAAGTGTGGTTTAAAGGGCAAATAGTGCTTTGTTGAGCAACTAATGTTGAAACAGTTGTGTTTATACCAGGCAAAGTATTATTGAAGTACTATCTGCAAAGTCAAATGAAACACCTTATGTTTACATATTCATGAAACAATTTTTTTGAAGTATTCATTCTATGCGAATTTAACTACTAGAGGAATTCTTAAGCAAATAGCCCAATTTGACTCAAGTGAATACTATTTAAAGGACCATACTCAACCAAATACGAAATAAACACTTGCGGAAATGGAAACGGTTCTACCTACATAACAATGAGACAAAGATTGCTGAAGTATTCACTAAAGACCACTTATATACTATGTCTGAAAAGCACAATTTGCATGAGCAAGCTTAAAAATGCACAATAATGGAAATAGAAGCGGTTCTACTTACATAACGATGAAACAAAGATGTCTGAAGTATTCAATAAAGACCACATATATACTGTGCCTGAAAAATGCAACTTGCACAATCAGGCTTAAAAAATGCACAAGAATCCTAGAAAAGTACTTAGTGAAGGCCATACACAAGCAAATTCACAAATACATAAAAACATCCAAAAGCGCAAGCTTTTCAGGAGAATCTCTGGTAAAGTTTGGATTATAGGGTTTTGGGGTATTCCTGGACGGGTCTGTGAGGTGGGTGTCCCAGTAACTGTCCTTCATTACCCGGTGATGAACTACGCGACTTTTGGGCCTTCTTTGTTGTTTTTTTGTAAAAAAGGCCTAAAAAGGCCTAAAAAGGGTAGGTCGCTGGGGGGGGGGGTAGCATATATATATATATATATATATATATACATATATATATATATATATAGAGATATATACATATGCACATATATATATATACACATATATATATATAGAGAAAGAGAGATAGATATGTATATATGTGT